GCCCCGATACCTGATACCAGTATCGGTATCGGTGCATCCCTACTGGAGACGACCAGTGTGGAGACGAGAGCTCGCTAAAGCTTTTTAAACCTTTCTACACTCGGGCTCACGACAAAACTTCATGTTTTCTAACAGGTTCTCCTCAAAGTTCGGATTATGATCCCAGTGAAGATAAAATGGTGGAAAACTGTTATTAACAGGAAGGAGGATTTTTAAGAGGTTTGGGATTTTCTTATTTCTGTTCAATTCAGCTCAGTTTTATTTACACAGAAGCCACAACATTACCTCAACAATCATATGACCCCCTGTGAGCAAGCACCTGGTGACAGCGGGAAGGAAAAACTCAAGCAGGAAGAAACCTGCAGCAGAACCAGGATCAGGGCGGTGCAGCCATCTGGGTGAGGGGAGGAAGACGGGAGAGCCACAGATGAATAATAAAATAAATGATAAATAACACTCAGTGCTGATGTCACGATTAAGACAAACTAAAGGGTTTGAGAGGTCATATCAATATTTAAGGTGTGTTCAGATTTATGATGTAGGAAAACATTCCACCTTAAGAGCTGCCAGCAGCTGCCTTTGACTGACTTTGATTCTACACCCTGAACAGTGGCTGATGGAGATGAGGGTGGAGAGACGCGTCATTAGTGTGTAATCTCTCCAAAGGCATGAAAAGAGCTGCAGCTCGTGAACGTGTCGTACTTAAAAGAAGAAGAAGAAGAATCTGTGCAGGGCTGATGCTCGACTCATCTCGAGTGCAGCGACGCTGACGTGATAACGAGTAAATATTTGGCAGCTGGTAATAATGCAACAGTGCAGCAGCGATTAGTTGGGTCTGTCTAATCTTTATCAGGCTGATTGATCCACGAGGAAAAAGTGCAGTCAGTCGCACGCTGGAGGAAGCTCTGCCTGAGCCTGAGGCCTGCTGACGTCCTTCAGGCTGAGATCAGAGCTCGTCACACTCCGATTGTGTCCGCTGACCAAAGGAACAAAGGGTGTTTTGAGGAGCGCGACCCCTTTTTAACGTGGTATGCTGTGGTTGCCTGCTCTGTAATAAATCCTTCACGTGATTCTGCTCGTGCGTGTTTGTGGAAACAGCCAGCAGCTCCGTTTGTTTCTCTTAAACGCACTAAAATCCGGATCATTCGCGGCAGAGGGGAACGTTCGCCGTAGCTGCTTTTGTTTTGTCGTAAAACTCTGTGACCTGGCTGTAACCTTTCCTCCACAGACCTGAAACAGAGGTGCCTGACAAAGATGTGCAATAAACTGTGACCGGAGAGGAACGAAGAGCCGCTCATCATCACGAACTC